ACAAATGGATATTTGTCAAATCTAAAACATATCGTATAATTTTGTACACACTTTACAAAGATCTATGGCGTGAAGTAAAAATTACACAAAAATGCGGTTTGCAGCAGTCGAAAGAATGAATCTTTACCTTCAATTTCATTTTTTATTGATTGTTGTACGATTTTTTTCCACCGAGTTATTGAACGTTAAAGTAGAAGTGATCACTTTTGCTTCATCGTTCAATAATTCGGTAAAAAAAAATCGTACAATGTTTAATAAAAAAACAAATTAAAGGTAAAGATTCACTCTTTCGACTGCTGTAAACCGCATTTGCGTGTAATTTTTACCTCACGCTATAGACCTTTATAAAGTTTGTAAAAAATTTTTAGATTTGACGGATATCCATTTGTGTCCATATAACTCCGTTAAGTATCAGTCATATTGAAATTTCAATTATAGATTTCGAAAGTAGAGATTTCAACCTTTAAAATCCTTTTTTAATTTTTTGTCTGCGATGATTTTTCATTGAATTATGGTGTTCTGAATATTGCTCAATTTTTAGCGTGTTTGAAAGTGTTCCCTAGATTTTGTTGAGTAGTGTATTTTATTCCCTTCCTGATTCAATAAAAACTTCTACCTCTATTTCCTCTTTCCGTTCTGCTGCCTCGCGTTTCATCGCGTCACTCACGGTATTTAAACGAGACTGATGTAATTGGTGTATTTGCGGATGTATGAGCGTGTGTGTGAGCGTGTGTGTGTGAGAAAGTGTGTTTATGCGTGTGTGTATGTATGATTTAACTCTTATTGCATTGTTGTCTTATTACAGTTTTGTTACTGGTAGGCTTTGCAACAGCAATTCTGCTGGTGCCTAACCATTTTGCAAGCTCCTTTTCGTCTATTGTATTTATGTTTTTTGTTAATTATATTCTATTGTATCACATGTCGTGTCTAATACTTAATATGTAGTTTTTTCATATAGCTTTGCAATAAACTAAATTAAATTAAATTAAATTAAATAGTGCGCGCGAAGCGCATAGTCAGACCTTATATTTAAGGCTTTCTTAAATTTATCTTTAGATGCTCAATAGCTAATAAAATAATTCGTAGAGTATCTGAAGATAAATTTAACGAAGCCTTAAATGTAAAGCCTGACTATGAATACGGGCAATATATATATATATATATATATATACAATACTTTTTTAACTCATTTATACTTAACATTTACTGACGGCTTGCATCTTATAAGCCGTATGATGCATATTTTCTTGCTAGAGTACTTGTGTTCTAGTAAATTACTAGAATTGTACATAGAGAGAACACATAATTTCCAATAATTTACTAAAATACAAGCAAGAAAATATGCATTGTATGCCGGTTTTATTTGCGGTAATAAAATTCAGTAAGACTTTGGTACTTAGGGCAGTGTTGCAAGATTCGTGGGACAAACTCACGCATGCGTGTTAGCGCTAATAATAAACTAATATATACTAAGAAATTTAAAATGCCTATTACGGATCTTCGTTGCTTAAATAATTCAATCTTAAATTACTAATATATACTATATATGTACTTGCATATATACTATATTGTAGTCTTTTTTTTCACACACAAACTGCGCGCCGAATTATTTTTCCGGACTAAATAAACGCAAGTAAAACTACTCTAGCAATCGCGAATTAAATTGACAAGCAATTTAATAATTTGATGCTACCAAGCATCATACCAGGTATGTAAATATGAAACCGGAATTTACCAACAGATGGCCATAGCTGTCAATGCTGTCAGACCGCGTCATTGACACCATTTCCTTGTTCTGACATCTGACAAAGATTTTCAACTCAACAATACAAGTTTCATACAACAGTATAGTTTGTAATAGCGTTGAGCATGTCGAATTTTGTGCCTGGAAACTACGATTTGCGGACAGCATTGATTTTCTGTTACCATTTGAAGAAAACTGCTACAGAATCGCATCGAATGCTTGTCGAAGCTTACGGTGAGCATGCTCTTGGTAAATCACAGTGCTTTGAGTGGTTTAAAAAATTCAAAAGTGACGATTTTGACGAGAGAAACGACGAACGTGGAAAACCACTGAAAAAGTTTGAGGACAGCGAATTGCAAGCATTGTTGGATGAGGATGACGCTCAAACTCAACAACTCGCGGATCAATTGAATGTGATACGAGAAACCGTCTCCATACGTTTGAAATCCACGGCAAAGATCCAGAAGATGGGAAAATGGGTTCCACATGAACTGAATAAAAGACAGCAGGAAAACCAAAAAACCACTTGCGAAATGCTGCTCGCCAGGTACAAAAGAAAGTCATTTCTCCATCGAATTGTGACCGGCCATGAAAAGTTGATATATTTTGAGAATCCTAAGCGTAAAAGATCATGGGTAACTCCAGGCGAACCATCGACATCGATTGCAAGGCCAAATCGCTATGGACGGAAGACAATGCTCTGTGTTTGGTGGGATCAGAAAGGTGTGATCTATTATGAGTTGCTAAAACCTGACGAAACCGTTAATACTGAACGCTACCGACAACAAATGATCAATTTGAATCAAGCTTTGCGTGACAAACGACCGCGATATCAAAAAAGACAACACGAAGTGATTTTGCTTCATGATAATGCACCATCACACACAGCAAAACTGGTCAAGGAAACGATTGAGGCGTTTGGTTGGGAAATACTTTCGCATGCGGCTTACTCACCAGACTTGGCTCCGTCCGATTACTACTTATTTGCATCAATGGGACACGCACTTGCTCAGCAACGCTTCACTTCTTACGAAGATGTACGAAAATAGCTAGATAACTGGTTTGGCTCAAAAGAGCAACAATTTTTTTGGCGTGGCATCCACAAATTATCAGACAGGTGGAAAAAATGTATAGCTAGCGATGGGCAATACGAATAAAATATTTTTTATCATTTTCATGCAATAAACGTGTATTTTCTATTAAAAAATTCCAGTTTTATATTTACATACCTGGTATATTATAAAGATGTTAATATGTTAAAACTGTTAATAAATTTATTGCAAAAAATATTACCTCGGCCGGGACTTGAACCCGGATCTCTTGTATTCCGTACGAGCGTCCTAAGTCATTAGACCACCTAGGCCTTAGTAATATTCTTCGCAATAATCGGATATAAAAAATGCACCAGGGCGCCAAGGAATGCCTCATATTGAATCTTAATATTTGCTGAAACCGATTATGACGTAGCATTCGCATGCGCAGATAGGTCTCGCCGTGGGACATCCTACGAATCTTGCAACACTGACTTAGAGTATGGCGTACAGAACAATTATTCGCGATACAAAAATTCAAAAAAATTTTCGTAGACAAAAGATACTTAAATTGCATTTAAAGAAATAACGCATAAGATAAAACCATTGCTATAACAAATATTAACACGTAATAGATATAAATATATATTTATTTTTACTCATTAAGCGCCTTAGGGATTTAATAACTTTTTTTAAATTTAATTTATAGATATTTAATGCTAACTATTCAATCATTACAACAATTATTTATTATTTCTACTATACTTTCCTGAAGATATTCAATAAATAATATATTTGTTATCTTAATTAAATTGTTATAATTAAGATAACAAATTAATCTTAAAACTGTCATAATATAAGATTATTATATAGTCTGAATAAAGTCGTACATTTATAACGTGATATTTTGTAAAAATCTAAAACACCTCATAAAACCAAAAAGTGTTTATATTATATATAGCAAAGACATCGAGTGTATAGAGTTCAAGGTTTATGAAATGTAAAAATCTTCTTATCCCTTTCGTCTCACCTTATCATTATCTTTGTCATATAGATTGATACAAGGAATCAATGAATTTTCACGGCGAGATCCTCCATAACCGATTGGACGTTCTTTGTAGCCTTTAACTTGAGCAATGAGCGGTTTCCATTTCGCTAAATGAGTAAGTTCAGCGAACTTGTCGTTAGCTTTGAAGCTCCATTCGCTTTCTCTGAAAATAATATGTTTCATTGGAGAATAATTGACAACAGTAACATCTATTGATCAGTGAGATGTTAATTTACCGTGGCTTTACGTTTGCCAACGAACACTCCACAGCCTGCAGACGTAAGCTTAACATATCTGTACGAAGTTCTAATATATCATTTATGGGGATGATTTCCAAATCTCCATAATCTACAAAGAAGACTTTATATTTAGAAGATTCCATGATGGATATTACTTCTGCACGATACCACTTGTTGTCATATTTAAATCTTGCCGCTACCATTTGGCCTACTGTTATCTAGAATCAATGCACAAACGGTTACAGATATAAATTAGTATTATTAAATTAGTATTATTATGATCAATATGAATAGTACAAATAAACGAGATATATATATATATATATATATATATATATATATATTATATACAGGGTGACCCATTTTAACTTAGACAGCCAAATAACTCGAAACCTATATAAGGCTCGAATGTTACAGTACCGTCGCCGACATTAGCATTACACAAGGTATCCGACCGATGGCTAAAACCTCTTGAATGTTGTCTGTAACATTCGAGCTTTATAACTCGAGAAGTACTTAATGAAAAAATATTTTATTATAGTGTTTGGGAAAGCTCTCGAGATAAGCTACAAGAATATTCAACGAAAAATGGGGCTTCCCATTCAAAAAAATGACCTTGACCTTCAAATGACCTTGAAAATGAAGGACAAGGTCATTGTCAAGGTCATAGTTCAATCAGTCCCTTCATATCCAACAATTTTTGTTTTAAACATTTTTTTATTTAATCGCGATGTTTCGGATTATTTGGCTGTCTAAGTTAAAATGGGTCACCTTGTATATATACATTTAAGCTTTAAGAGTCGGCGCCGGAAATATAATTTGCTCTTTGTTTATATAATTATATAAACCTAAACGTTTCAGCTTACATTTGAATCATCCTCAGTAAAAATTTCTTTATATAAGTTCTTTGATAATTAATCAGTTAGGCTAATGTAGATCTCCATCAATCTACATGTGTGTCGTTATTGTCTACCTCAGAATTATCTTACGATTTGTTTCGTGAACGTATTTCTTACAATAACGTCGATAGATGTCGGAGATGTTAGATATAAATTGCCAATCAAACGGGCGATTTAAAAATGAAAACGGATACTGAAAACTTAAACCATGCGTACATAGAAATACTCAACAAAATATAAATAACATGAAGTTTTTTAATTTAACCAAAATGATCTTTCTTCGTTACCAGCTCGCGATACCGTTTTAATGTCTGATCGTATGTACATAACGTTTAATGGACATGACACACATCGAATTTTAATTATTATGGTTTTAATGTGATTATCGAACTAAATATCTTACCTACTTAAATTTATTATATAAACACATTTTCACGATATCGTTGCGATTGATACTGCTGTGAGGTGAATGGCGAACAATATATGATATTTAATTTCAATTATTCTTCTGATTGGTTGCTATATAATAAAAATGTTAGCTTAAGGGGATGCTAAACCGATTACCCAACTCAATCAAAGTATAGTACAGACTTTTTAAATTCCAAATTCGAAAATAGTGGTGACATCTTTGATTTAGTTTTTACATTATATTATATAATATATATCATTCTGTCTTAATCAAACGCATACATCTGTTCTTATCTAACATATGCCAGCACCATCTATCGCAAGACCGCGCAACTACTGCTACACGGAATTTCGGTTCTGTTGACAGTCCCAGTCTTCGTATGCACGTATTTTCCATTCGGTGGAAATATTTCTTTTCTCGACTTTCAATCTTAGTTCTACAAACCCGGTATCGTTCGTTTCAATAATGTGACCTCAGCTGCACGCTTATTTTCAAGATATGAACTCTTAAAACTCTTATATCAAGTAAATATATACCTGAGATGACAGATGTACGAGCTAAAAGTAAGTGAATTTTTAACGAATCTTAAACTTTTTTTCGATTTTCTCAGGAAATCCAGTGCAGCTGAGGTCCTGTTTGTGCGTACTTTAATTTAAGCAATAATACTTTTGCAATCCGTACATCCAATACAGAGATTTTTCACCGAATGGAAATGTGGTAAAACAGGAGGCTTTAGCATCGCCTTAAGATTTTTCCAACACCACTAAACCATGCAACTGAATTGAATATTTATGAATACTGAGGAGGATACATATCTCTCAGCGATGTCTATTGCAAAAAAATATAACGCACAGAATACAAATCATAAGATAATTCTGTGCTAAACAACGACACATATGCAGATTGATGAAGATCCACATTATCCTAATTATAAAAAAAAATTGTATTAAAGAATTTCAGGATGACCCAAATGTGAACTGAAACGGTCAGATTTATATAATTGTATTACAACACGCTAATCACAAAGCGTAAATCATATTTCGTATTATTCAATAAATTTCATATTATTATTGTTGTTGTTATTGTAGTTGTTAATGATATTATATTATATTATTTGTGTTATTATATTATATTATTTATGTTATTATATTATTATTATTATTGTAGATTATTATTCATACAAATTGTGCGCCAATTGATTGACCATAAAACACAATCCTAAACTGAATTTCTCATGCAAAAACTAATTTTTGAATGTTTCTAATTTTAAAGAGTTTACATAAAAATGGAAAAGTTTTTGTTTCTATGTTCCCAATTCGCATAAATTTTTTCAAAATTTTTTAAAAACTTTTTTAAACTTTACTTTTTGCGAGATATGAGAAAATCGCAAGTGTTTCTAATAAATGATACTGTATGCATGCGCATGTATACATGCATACAATTAAATTATTAATATATACATAGATATTATAAAAATATAGAAATATATAGATATCACATAGAAAATTAGTTACTAAAATCCGCTTTGAATGAATGTAGCTCTTTTTGCATTTTCATATTATTCACACATCGGTTGATTCACTTATGATTGTATATCATTTATAAAAACATAAAATCTGTTTTTTTTATTTCTCTCTATACGTTTGTTTCAATTCAACTTATTGCACTGTGTGCACCAATTCAGAGATTGCAGGAATAAAAAATGGTTCTATTATATTGTATGGATAATTATACAATTCTCTCTATCTCTTGTTTATATTTATCTTGTTTTAAATATCTCGTTATAGCAATAAAGTTAAATGAATTACGTTTCTATTTACTTTTTTCAAGGCATGGAGTTGACAATTTTCCTTTTCATTGTAATATTTTGTCATATCGTGTACTAAGTATTGTAAATGGATATTTGCAGAACCAACCACTTGAATCCAAAACAGACTTGGTGTTTCCATTGCAGATACATATACTTCCATCAAACCATCTATTAAAATCAAAATTTAATTGTAATACAATATATAAAAATCAAATTTTAATGAAATATAAATTTATAAAATTTACAAAATCAAATGTTTTACAAATATAATTTGTTTTTCAAATATCTTGTTCTAATGCAGTTTTTAAAACATTAGATGTTCTAATACCATTGTTACATGGAGAATCGGATATTCTTTTTATGGTCATTGTAGATTCAGAATTCCATTCATTACAAGATTCAATTGCCTCTTTAATTTTATTTTTTATCTGATTAGTGGCTAGTTCAATTTGTTTACCAGTCCCAATTATTTTTATATTTCTTTGATCTATAAAAAACATTATCACAATTATTGCATTAATTGTTATTATAGACTCCAACAGATTACAGAGATTAATTAAAAAACAAATGTGTCCAATTTTCAAAGTCATCAAAGCGAATCTTGATACTTGATAATTAAGCTTATCCATCTCAATTTCATTTACAATGTGAATTAATTGTACATCATATATAATAAAGTTAATAATAAAATATAAGTATCTTATCAATTCAGATATGAAGAAAATGTTAAAAAATATTTACTTTCAAATTTATTAGCAACATTTTCAAGCATGATTTTTGCACCGGAGAATCTTTCCATTTTTTGCACTGTGTATCCATTTTTTCCTATGATCCTTCCACAAACTTCATGTGGCACTAATAATTCATAAGTTTTAATATCAGAATGATCCTCTGTTGTATTTTTAATATCAGTATTAATATGGGATAATTCAGATACAGATATTCTTGCAGTTGCAACTTGCATTCTTAGTTGAACTTCAGTTTCAATCTCGTCTTGAACTTTATCTTCTATTTGAATAATGGCTGCTGCTATTTGATCAGCAGTTCCCTTTAGTATTATCCTTTTTTTGAGTCCAGCTATAAAAAATTAGTAATTATAGTAATAACATGATAATATTGCAAATTTGATATAAATATTGGGAACATACTTTCAGTTTTATGAGGATCACTCTCAAGTATAATTTTTGTACCATAAGTTTTTTGAATCTCTTGCGCAAATCCAAAATCATTCCTTTTTTTTTTAAAAATTCTTCTAGAAACTTCAAAAGGGACAAACAATTCAAAGGTTTCAATAACAGGTAGATTGCTTATTATAGAGTGTATCATACTCTGTGCTGAATAAATGTTTTCTGCATTATCAGACCAAATGTAACAGACACGATCTGGACAATATAAATCTGCCTTTTCCATCTTAATGCATGTGTTGGTTAACTCTTCTATATTTCTTATTACAGCACCACCTTTACCAATAACAGCAGATACATACTTCTCAGGCATTTTAAATTCCATGCAAATTTCTTTGCATTTGGATTTTGCTAACCAACTATATTTCTTTCTATCACCATTATCATCCTACAATATAATAAGCTTGTATTTACAAAACAAATAAATTTTATTGAATTTCACAGACAGGTTAAGCCTATTTTACAATATGCTCTGTGTTTCCAATTTCTTGCTTTTCCCCCCTTTGCGACTGTTTTAACAATTATATTTCTTGCTACTGTTTCCTGTTTCTTTCAAAGTTCATTAACTTTTATGGCTGTTCTACAATGTGCTTTTTGTTTCCTGTTTCTTGCTGTTTGTCTCTTGCCTTCTTGATCAAAAAGACAAGAGACAAACAGCAAGAAACAGGAAACAAAAAACACATTGTAGAACAGCCGTAAAAAAGGCAAGAGACAAACAGCAAGAAACAGGAAACAAAAAGCACATTAGAGAACAGCCATTAAAGTTAACAAACTTTGAAAGAAACAAGAAATACGTAGCAAGAAATAAAATTGTCGATAAAACGATTGCAATGAGGAAAATAGAGGTAAAAAAAACAAGAAACAGAAACAAAAAATACATTATAAAATAGATTTTAGCAATAAAGCCAACACAGAATAAAGAAATTTTATGTCAAGAAAGCAAGCTTTACTTTTTCAACCATAGTGTACAGCAAAATTGCCACTGATAATCCAAAAGTTGTTAAGGATAAGCCGAGTAAAATCGGTAACACCGATTGCCTGTTCACAGTTGATAACAATCTCATTTTTCTATAAATTCAAATTAAGACAATATATTGTATAACTTCGCAACAACAAAAATATTGAAAACATTTTTTAATTATCAACCCTTAGGGCGACTATTACAAACGCCGATTAACTTAATCGACGATTAACTCAATCAGCAGAATTACTATTATAGATAGGAGATTTTCATTACTTTTATCACAGTTAAGTATAGGAACACAGAGATGGAAGTATATCACAAAGAGATGAGGTTAAGAACGATATAAGCGGGGAGCACAGACTCTTGCATAACGCATAACACGTAATTCATAAAAAAATGTGCCAATCAAAGTCCTTCATTTCCTTCCTTTCTATGAAATAAAGAACTCTGATTGGTTCAATTTCTTATGCCTCATGTGTTATGCGTTATGCAAGAATCTGTGCTCCCCGCTATAATGCCTCCGACACACCAGCGAAATGTTCGTCGCGCGCGACACGCGATATCCAATGAGTGTACAGCTTTACCTTTCTCATTCTAAAGGTATACTCTCATTGGATATCGCGTGTCGCGCGCGACGAACATCGCGCTGGTGTGCCGGGCCATTAAGGCCGCAGCACACACTTTTGCATAACGCATAACGCATAGTGCATAAGCGAATCAACTAATCAGAATCTTTCCTTTCCTCCCATTCCATGGAAAAAAAGAATTTTTATTGGTTGATTCCTTTATGCATTATGCATTATGCGTTACGCAAGAGTGTGTGCTGCGGCCTATAGGCTGCGTTCCGTTTCACGCATGATGCGCATGATGCATCTTTAAGGCCGCAGCACACGATCTTGCATAACGCATAATGCATAGTGCATAAAGGAATCAACCAATAAAAATTCTTCTTTTCCATGGAATGGGAGGAAAGGAAAGATTCTGATTAGTTGATTCGCTTATGCACTATGCGTTATGCGTTATGCAAGAGTGTGTGTTGCGGCCTTTAAGCGGGGAGCACAGACTCTTGCATAATGCATAACACATGAGGCATAAGAAATTGAACCAACCAGAGTTCTCTATTACATGGAAGGGAAAGAAACGGAGAACTTCGATTGGTACATATTCTTATGCATTACGTGTTATGCGTTATGCAAAAATCTGTGCTCCCCGCTTTAATCCTTGTTATTCATCGAATGTTAAACAAGGATAAATGATGTATTATGCACATCATACGTGAAACGGAACGCACCCATACAGTCTTGCTGTTGACTACGTTGCTGTAGAGTCCTAGATTTATCAGAGAGGTGCAACCGATGTTATACATTCTGATTCGCTGTTGCAATCTAATCAATTGCGTGACTTGGCAGCCATATTTATAGTACTAGTGCCATATTTCGATTTCATTTTAACCTATACATTCTATCTCACATTATCGTAAACGTCTTATCTTGTTTGACATAGTTTGTATTGTAGACGACGCCTGATTGGTCAATTTCTTACTCTTACTTCTTATGGTACGTTTCCACTGAGCGCGTCACGCGTCGCGTCGTCAAAGGAGAAAAAGAGAGGGGTTGTGTATTTATATAATCTTATCTCTTTCTCTCTTTCATGACGCGACGCGTGACGCGCTCAATGGAAACGTACCAATACTGACTTAAGCCGGTTGCGCCACTCTGATAAATCTAGGACTCTACCTTTATCATCCGTTTTTCACCAATCAGCGTTCGGTGTCAAAGCGCTGTTGCCCGTATGAAGATCCGAGCTAAAGCCTTGTATCCACGATGCTAGAAATCGGTCCGAGACCTCGGATGAAGAAAGAATTGACTAATCGCAATGGTCATGTGATCAAATTGTTCAAATGTGATTTGTTAATTTTTTCTCTGTCCGAGATCTCGGACCGATTTTTAGCATCGTGGACACGGGTTGCACCCAGTTGGACACAGCTCAATTGGACACGAGCCACTCACAGCGCTTGAGACTATAAAGCTCCTAGGCACCGGTCGCTGTGATTGGTGCTGTCCAATCGATCCGTGATCAATCGGAATCACCCCCGTGGACACAAGGCTTAAGGGTGCCGTCACATGCGGCGTAACTTGCGTAAGCGTAACTTGCGCCGACCAATCATATCATTTCAATTAAACATCAGTTTCTGTCTAGTCACTTTATGCTTTTTACGCTATTTTGTTACGCCGAAACATGATAGAACCACCATGCGTCGAATCTAATTTCTGGCTCATTTTAGCTTATTCTGTCTGAAAAAATGCACAAGGGTTTCGATTTTGCAACAGTACAATTATAGAAGTCGTGCGCCTCTTTGCATCGCGTGAAAAGTCGAAACTCATGTGGATCAGTACAATTATTGACCTCATTTTGCCTTTGTGACAGATTTTCTAACCTCAATAGTCATCAACTTTAACGCTTAATATCTCAGATCACAAGGCAGAACGACGTTTTTTTGTCAGATTCTTTTGTTTCATGCAAAAAC